GGTCAGGTGGCAGTGGTGCACACCTTGGTCAGGTGGCAGTGGTGCACACCTTGGTCAAACCCCAGCAGGCAGATCCCTTGAGTTCAAGGACAGGTTGGTCCACAGAGCGAGTTCCAGAACAGCCAGAACTATTACATAGAGAAACCCTGTCTTGTCTTTAAAAAAATAATTATAAAAATAAATTTAAAAAAAGAAATAAAAGGAAATCAGCTAGGACTGGGGTACAGGCCTGTCATCCTAGGTCCTATAGGGCAGCGTCAGGAGGGTCACAGGTTCTTGGCAGCTTGGTGAGGCCGTGAAGAGAGTAGAGAGGAACGCTTCGTGGCTGGGGACTTACTGGGCTCTCATTAGCTCAGGGTAGTGTGGGATTTCTGCACCAGAGACACCGTGACAAAGGAAGAGAGGAGGCGGAACTATTCTTACAACTCTCTGTAGGCTTGAACTATTTAAAGATGAAAACTGGGGGAGAGCCAGGCGTGGTGGCGCACGCCTGTCATACCAGCGCCAGGGAGGCTGAGGCAGGAGGATTGCCTGAGGCCCTATATAGCACCCCCACCACCCCGAAACGAGAAACCTCTGATAACCCAGATCTGTCAGAAGGCCAAGGCAGGGAGAGTGGAGAATTACGTGCAAGCCGTGAAGACGGATCCTGTGTGACTTTCCCGAAAGGAGAGGTGAGCCCAGGACCGTCTCTAAGACGGAGGGGTAGCCTGCCCTGTGCTGAGGGAGGGAAACCTGACCCTGCAGGAAATGGGAGGTCTGGGGTGAAAGTGTGAGGGCAGATCTGGGAGGAGGAGCTGGCTGCAGATTGGATCAGGGCCAATTGTAGGAAGGCCTGATTGCCCTGGGTGTGTAGTGGACATGGTTGGCAGGCTGTGGGTTTCTTGCTAGCTTCTGGTTGTTGTTTTGTTTTGTTTTCTGGTTTTTAAAATTTTTATGGAAAAGCAGGAACTGCATTGGTGCCAGGCCATTTCCTAGGCCTTTGGCAGTTAGAAGGTTACAAAGCCGACAGCTCTCTAGGAAGGGGGAGGAACAGATAAATGTAGATAAATATGATAGATACAAATCTAGTCTCCAGGCAGGCGGGGTTGTGTGCGTGTGTCAGCCACAGCACCTGCTTTGGACTCCTCAGGAGCTCCACGTGTGTCTGTAGCAATGTAGGTGGAGTCTACTATTCGAGACTCAGGCAGACCACAGAGCTGACTGAGAGCCGAGGGCCCAAGCAGCCAAGCTTTCACGTTAATCACAGTTTAAGGTGTTCCGATACTGACTGAAGAAGTCTCAAGTGTCTTTCCGAGGGCTCTTCCTGCCAGAAAGGTCCAATAGCTCCTGCCTCACCATTGATCCTTTGAAGTCTCAGGAGCAGGGCTTGTTTTTCTCTCATTCCTTGGAAACAGGCAGTGGGAACTCGGGGAAGGCTGTCCAAATGACCCGGCTAAGGGGAGCAGAGGGCGCCTCATGGAGAAGATGGTAGATGACCACAGCAGTGGTCTGTCTGGAGCCCATTCTGACCGCACCCTTCACCCACAGGTATGCCACCATGCCGATTGCCAGCAACTGCACCGCCGGGGGCCCCTCAACCTGTGTGAGGCCTGTGACAGCAAGTTCCACAACGCTATGCACTATGATGGACATGTTCGCTTTGACCTGCCCCCACAAGGTAAGCCCTGAGACCAGACCTGGCCTCTAGAAGTCAGGGAAGCTCAGAATTCCCTATCTTGGTGGAAGCGGTGCTTGGTTAGCTATTGAAACTCTGGTAGGGCCACGTGAAGAACACAAGAACAAAATACAAATCTACAGATACACCTCCTTACCTCCCACAGCTGCCCCCGCCGCTGGCCCGGGTCAGCACAGGAGCCCCCTTTCTTCCTCATTCTGCCTCTCTGTGAGGCCAGCAGCTTCTGGGCGAACTCTCCATACCAGGCCACTGGCCTAGGAGAGCAGGTTGGTGGCCACTGTGGTTGGAAGGAACTTGGGGAAGGGAATCAGAAACCTCACTGTTAGGAATGTTTTCTAAGGCAAGCTCTCTGCCGATGCAAAATCCCAATCAAGCCAAATCAAAACAAACCAAATTAAAAGATATCCAGGTTTAAATGCACTCCTGTGCTCTCAGGTGGCCCAAGGGGAACCAGAAAGCTGCCAATGCGGGGGAGGGGGGAAGGCTGGGTGGGACGCGACATGGGACGCGGAGACCAGAGACTGGGATTTACATTCCAGACTGTTTGTATAAGGGTGATAGGAAGCTGAGGTGATATTTATGACCAACATTTAGGCTCTCTTTGGAAAAGGGGCGTTGACTCAAGTCTGGCTCCTTCCTGCGAGGGGAGAGCTAGGTGTTGGTGGGTCCACACTCAGCGAGAGGTGTGGCTGGAAAAGAATCCTGTTCACTGTCATCCTGGAGATGCCAGGCATCTGTTTCTTGAAGGAGATAAGAAGGCAGGTGTCTATGAGAAAAAAAACATTATTATTACCCGTCTTGTTTGTATCACCAAAGATGAGTGTGCCAGTGCCAGGATGAGGAGCAGGTAGGCCCTTCATTATGGCATCTTGGAAAACTGGAGGGTGGAAGGTCCTAACTGCTGAACAGACCAATTGTCCTGAGTAGGTGCCTGCATGAGCCTGGAGAGATGGTAGCAGCATGGGTGTCCCAGGAGCTTGGCTGCCGAGGAGGTGGTGAGGATTACCATGTGAGGTCCTGTCCATCGAGGTTCGAGAGACCTAGGAGTTAACTGTTTGAGGAATACTCTGTCCCCTAGGGAGAGAGGGGCAGGTTCAGGGGCATAGGGTCCACTGGTGTGGTGACAGGGAGACAACTGTCAGCGTGTGAACAGAGAAGGGACCTCAGAAGGGAGAGGTTGGGCAGGTACCCTGCCAGTGGAGGAGTTTGGTTAAGGAGGGAGGTGGGAGGTGATGGTTAAGGAGAAAGGACCTGCCATAAAGCAGCTCTAAAGGGCTCAGGCCCGTAGGGGGAACGTGGGGTGACCCTGAAGTGAGTAAGGGCCAAGGGGAGAAGGGAGGGCCAAGATAACCTGAGTTCAATGGAGAGCTTGGTTAGCTGCTGTTTGTTGAGTCCATTGGCCCTCTCCACCTTTCCCGAGGATTGTGGATGGTAGGGGGTGTGGAATTTCCAGGAGATACTGAGAGCTTCTGACATGAGCTTCACGACCCTGGAACTGAAGGCTGGCCCATCATCCGTCTGGATGGTCCACGATATCATCCCAGGAATGATATGGTCCAGGAGTACCTGAGCCACCACATCTGCCGTTTCCCTGGAGACCGGAAACGCTTCTATCCATCCTGTAAAAGTGTCCACAAGTGTTAGGAGATAACGGAGTTTTTTATGAGTAGGCATATGGGTGAAATCAACCTGTCAGTATTCACCTGGTCGGTGTCCACGAAGCTGGTGTAGAGACTGATGTATGTGGAGAGCCCCCTGTGGGTTGGCCTGGACACATCTGGCAAGAGGAGTGAACCTGTGAAATACGATGTCAGAGATGGGTGGGGTCAAAAAGGGGCTCCAAGAAGCGGAACAAAGCTTCGGGGCCTATGTGTAAGGTCTGGTGGATGTCTCAAATGATTGACAATGTCTGGTCTTGAGGAAGGATGAGACAGTTATTTAAATAGAACCATCCATCCTTTGTTTTTGTGCCCCCCTCCTTGTAAGCTCTTCTCTCTCTTTAGGTTGGTAACAGGGCTGATAGGAGAGAGTTAAGAACAAAATGTTCTGTGGTATCCGAGGAGCTGGAGGCCAGCCCCCTGGGTCCTTGGAGGACTGGTGTCTCCGACAGTGAATAATGGCTACTTTTGCAGGGAGCTGAAGGGCCTCCTAAATGTTGGCTATAAGGGGTCCGTTAGCTATGGAAATGCCCCTTTCCTTCCAGAGTGCAGAATGAGTATGGGCTATTAAGAAGGCATGTTTAGAGTCAGTGTAGATATAGTCCGTTGACCCTTGGCTATTTGGAGTGCCCTAGTCACAAATAACCGTTTATGATGAGGTTCCCATTAGTAAGTGGGTCTCTTCGACTGTGTCTGGTGGTTTCCTGAGGGCAGTGGCAAAGTTTTAAGTGGGGAGGAACGGGTCCCGTCTACCCTCATAACTGAAATTAGTGAGGGGAACATAAGGCCCTAGTGAGATGTTAAAACAGAATAGGTAGCTCCCGTGTCCAAAAGAAAGCTAATGGACTTACCCGCTACCTGTAGCTTTACCCTAGGCTCGGATAGGGTTACGGGAATTACCAAGTCTGGGCAGTGTCAATCCTCTCCAAGGATGAGAAGTTTAGAGGCTGGCACAGTCTCACTTGCTGATGTTGGTGAGGTTGGACCTCTGTGGTGTGGCATAGAGAACAAGTCCACATGGGGGCATTGTGATTTCCAGTGTCCAGGTTGGTGGCAGATAGGGCATGGCCTCGTAGGAGGTCCATTTAGGCCACACTTGAAGCAGCCTGCAGGTGAGGTTGACTTAGGCTGGGCTCCACCAGGATGGAACCTCACGGTTGACTTCCCTTGTCCCCCTTCCAGTGGCCTTATGGCAGCTGCTAAGGCTTGAGCCTGCAGGGTTGCTACCTATCTCTTCTCGGGCAGGCATTAAAAACTTTAAAGGCCATTTTCACCAATTCCCGTATAGGGGTTTGGGGACCCTCCTTAACCTTTCTTAACTTTGACTGAGAGATGAAATGGGTAGCCAAGACCATGGCTCCCACTGGTATACATGGTCCTGGTATACTGGACCATGGTCTCTTGTAACCGATTTTAGAAAATGGCTGGGTTTTCGTCAGCTAGCTAGCTGTGTATCTCTCTAAGTTTGTCAAAATTAACTACTTTTTTTGAGACCATTTCCATACCCTGAAGGATGTCCCACCTCTGTCAGCTGCTTTGGCCAGGTTGGTAGTCCCAGTGTGGATTTGTGGTTGGCACAGCCACTTCCCCCACAGGGACCGTACTGTCTACCAGATGAGTCTGGTCTGCATATTGTCTCGCTGCTGACTGAATCCTACTTGGCTCTTCGGGAGTGAGAGTAGGAGCTTAGTGTCACGCCAGGTTAGATCGTAGGCCTGGGACAGATAACAAAACTCTTAAATGTAAACAGAAGGATTAGCAGGAAAGGAACCCAGTCGCTTTTCTGTCTGAGAGATATCTGGAAGAGAAAATGGAATATGGGCGGAATTTTGCTGGGATCTGGTATGGGAGGAGATGGGAGGAATGGGCGGGGCTAGCCCAGTGCGCATAGGAGGTCCAAGGGTAGGAAGTTGCGGAGGAGGGGGCTGGAGGGAGGAAGGTAGGTAAGGGGACAGTTGATCTTGAACTAGTTTGGCTAGTGAGGGAGTAGGTAAGGGCAGGGTAGGAAAGGAATGTGGAGAATGTCGCTCCTCAGGAGTGGGGTGGGTAGTGAGGGTTCGAGGGAGTTGGGGAGGGGCCCGTGCCTCTGGCTGCATGGTCCAGCTGGAATGGTCAGGGTCCCAAGTCCCAGATGACTGGCGATTTGGAGGCTCTGCGAAGACACTGGCTACTGAGGGAGGGGTGAGAACGCAGAGCCCAGACCCAGGAGAGTTCCGTCCACTTGTCTCCACAGCAACAAAAGTTTTCTAAGTCCCGGGGAGGATGGTAAGCTCAAGGCTTCCCTCTGGTGGCCAATGCGTCCCATTGTCAAGATCGTATTGACGCCAAATCTTAGTGCATAGAGAAAGTAGCCATTCGGGACAGAGTGTATCAGACAGTCCCAATTTTTAAAGATTTTGTAAGAGGCATCCCAGGGGCAATAGCAGATCTGGCTTAGAATTGTAAGCGCCCATTTTAAAAGTCTGTGTCCAACTGTGTGCCTTAAGATTAATATAGTGGCCGGGCAGTGGTGGCGCACGCCTTTAATCCCAGCACTCAGGAGGCAGAGGCAGGTGGATCTCTGTGAGTTCAAGGCCAGCCTGGTCTACAAGGGCAGGACAGGCTCGAAAGCTACAGAGAAACCCTGTCTTGAAAAACTAAAAAGAAAAAAAAAAAGACTAATAGAGTGAGTCTGCCGAAATAGCTTTTAGGCCAGAACGGGGCTGTTAAATTGAATGCCAGGCGTCCCTAAAACAAACAAAATCCACCTCAGCTTTTGGTCTCAGCTTTCACTGCTTGGGTCAGGCTCTTGGCATGGCCCACGTCTTCCTCAAAAGCCGGATAATCGACAATTATCATTAATTGTCTGTTAAAAGTAAACATGAACAGGTTCCCCAAAACCCTATAGCATGGACAAAAAAAAAAGGGGGACTCACCAAGACACAGCGCTGTAACCTGGCACAGAGAGCTGGGGGAAGAGGGGATGGACAAGGGTGCTTTCAACACATGGCTATGGGCCACGGGAAAGGTCGCCCCCACCCCCTCCCCATGGACCTCCAAGATGTTAGGAGCTTACTGCCAACACAAAATAATCCCAATCAAGCCAAATCAAACCAAACCAAATTAAAAGATAGCCAGGTTTAATTGTACTGAGCTCTCGGGTGGTCCTGAGGGGAACCAGAAAGCAGTGACCACTGGGGGAAAGAGGGAAAACTATGTGTTTATTTTTTGGGGGAACAGTCTTAAATAGCCTGGGGGAGTGGTTTTGACCTTTCCTGGGGAGGGGTCAAGGTTTGGCGGGCTACCTTGACCCTCCTCGGGGAGGGACCAAGGTTCTAGGGACACAAGGGAGGGGCCTCCAAAAATGGAGGCCGGAGACTGGGATTTACACTCACCTGCTGAATAGGGCCTGGCTCTGGAAGACACCCAGTCAGCTGGTAAGAGAGACAAAGGGACTCTCCACTCCCTCAGGGCTCCTGGGACTTCAGGTCTGGTTGTGGTAGGGGGGAGGGAGGCTTGGTCCCTGTCTGAGACAGCCACCAAGGCATGGCTTTCTTACCCACATGCTGTAGCAAGGAGCAAGGTAACTGAGTCATCAGGTGGGTTTGTATTTGGAGCGGGGCATCACTAGTATATCATCCAAAGGCCTGTGGTCCTTCGGGGTCTGGGGAAATAGATAATAACGAACATCCCATTCTTGGCAGAACTGAAGGGCCTGAGCCACTGGGGAGCTCCAGGCTCTGCCTTTGGAAGAGGCCGATTTTAGGGTTAAGGATGGACCATAGAGGGAGTGGGTCAGGTTATAACCCCTGCTCCCTTCCTTCAAAGGCTCTGTCCTGGCCCGGAATGTCTCCACCCGGTCCTGTCCCCCACGCACTAGCCCTGCTGCAGATCTGGAGGAAGAGGAAGACTATGTGGACGGAAGAGGGTAGGTGTGGTCTGTGAACAGAGCTCCCACCATAGGAGTGAGACCAGGGACCACACCCTTCAGTGTCCTTCTCCAGAGACAAGTGGTTGGTCCCTCTGCACCCCTGCCTTGCCTTGATTTCTAGAGGAAACGGCCCTTGCTCAGGCCAACACGTCTGGCTGGCTCATCCTAAAAAAAATTAGCCATTGTGTGTAATTCCCTTGTTGGCCACCAGAGGGCAGACAGTCCCAAACAGGCAGCCGGGTAGAATGCATCCAAATTAACTTCCAAGTGATCAAGGGTAGGAGATTCCCACTTACATCCCACACTGGGAAGGACTCACCTGCACCTCAACATCTGCCTCCCTACAGGGACCGGAAGAGCACCGGCCTAAAGATCTCCAAGAAGAAAGCAAGAAGGAGGCACACGGATGTAAGGAGCCAGGAGGGCTGACTGCCCATGTTCCCAGAAAGCCCCCTTCTCTTCCAGGCCTTTCCTTTCCCTGAGTTTGGTCTCCCTGCTGGGAACTCCAGCCAGGGATGGGGTCTAGATGAGCTCAGAGCTGCCTGCATATCCCAAATATGGAGCGGCGGGCAGGAACTCCTTGGGCAAGTCGGACTCTGGGAGTCTCTCAGGAGTAGGACTGGGGAGTCCCTGTTGGGATTTATCTGGACCACAGGGTGTGTCAGGTAAGCAGTGGGGTGCCAGTGGGGATGCTAACAGATACCTGTACCCTCAGGACCCAAGCAAGGAGTGTTTCACTTTGAAATTTGACCTCAACGTGGACATTGAAACAGAAATTGTGCCAGCCATGAAGAAGAAGTCTCTGGGGTAGGGCCTGAGGAGGAAGTGGGGGTCAGACAGATGGAGTTCCTTTGTCAGGGCTCCCGGTCTCTACATCGGTCGCACGTGTGTGCGTGCGTGCGTGTGTGCGTGTGTGTGTGCAAGCATATGTGTGCAAGCATCTACCTGCATTTCTCTGTGAGTCTATGTGTGTCTGTGTGCTCCCATGTATGTGCACACCCTTCCTGTGGGCAGGCCCATGTGAATGTGACACGGTCACGAGGCTCACCTGTGCACTCTAATCCTGACTGTACATCTGTGCCCGAGAGGACCTGTAAGGCCCTGGTGCCCGAGAGGGACTTATAAGTCCCTGGGGGCGGGTGTGTGTACCTGCGTGTGTACCTGAGAGGGACCTGTGAGTCCCTGGGTACGGGTGTCTGTACCTGCGTGTGTGTGCCCGAGAGGGACCTGTGAGTCCCTGGGTACGGTGTCTGTACCTGCGTGTTAGATGTTGTGCCTGCTGCTTTTTGTTTGTTTGTTTTTGTTGGGGAAGTGGCTGGAACTGTGTCTGTGGATGGGCTGGGGAGTCACATGATCACCCCCTTAAAGCATACATTTCTTCCTGGGGGCAGGGAGGTGCTCCAGCCTGTGTTTGAAAGGAAAGGCATCGCACTGGGTAAAGTGGACATCTACCTGGACCAGTCCAACACACCTCTGTCCCTCACATTTGAGGCCTACAGGTTTGGAGGACACTACCTGAGGGTCAAAGGTGAGCAGAGCAGCAGGCTCCATGGGCCAACTAGCTGGGTGGGGTGGCTGGGGCTTGTTGGGGCCTCCAGGCTGTGGAGTCTTTCCTGGGCTCAGGTTCCCATTGGCCATGCTCCTGAACAGACTCATTAACATACAGGTGTCTTTGCTGGGCGCCTGTAGCTGGTGTTGGCAGGGTGGGGCTTCCAGGGAGGGTAGTGAGGCCTAGATATGAGTGCTCAGGGGACCGGGGACTAAGGCCACTGTGTCTCCTGTGCTTGGGCACTGAGGGCATCTTGTGCTTCCACATGCCATGCTAGCCAAGCCGGGAGATGAAGGCAAAGTGGAACAGGGAGTGAAGGACTCCAAGTCCCTCAGTCTGCCCATCCTGAGGCCCGCTGGGGCTGGGCCCCCTGTATCAGAGCGTGTGGACCCTCAGAGCCGCCGAGAGAACAGTCTGGACATCTTGGTGAGCAGGAGGGCCTGTCGGGATGGATGCAGGGCAGGAAACCTCCTAAGGAAGAGTCATGTTGGACTCTCCTCGGCATCACTCTTGGGGTCTTACTTCTGCAAGGTGTGGTTGGCTGTGAGGACAGGGGTCTCTCTCTCTCTCTCTCTCTATGTAACTGGTCTAGATGGTGGGTTGTCTCTGTTCTAGTGCCTGGGGAGTCAAAGGACGTGGGGTATATTATCTGTGGGGCAGGAGGAATGAGGTTTCCCAACAGCATGTTTGTGTTGGAAAGTCAGAATATATTACCCACTGAGTATGAATGTTTTGTGGGTCTTGTCCCTTTTCTTTTCTGTTATTCTATCTATCTTTCTATCTATCTATCTATCTATCATCTATCTATCATTTATCTATCTATTTTTGAGACAGGGTCTCACTGTGTATCCTTGCCTGTCCCTGGAGGCTGACTTCAAACTCACAGAGGTCACATTGGCTCTGCCTCCCAAGAGATTAAAGGCATTTAAAGGCATGCACCATCACTCCTGACTTCTCTCTCTCTCTCTCTCTCTCTCTCTCTCTCTCTCTCTCTCTCTCTCCAAGACAGGGTTTCTCTGTGTAGTTTGGAGTCTGTCCTGGTGCTCACTCCATAGGCCAGGCTGGCCTCAAACTCACAGAGATCTCCCTGCCTCTGCCTCCCAAGTGCTGGGATTAAAGGTGTGCGCCACCACTGCCCGGTGAGCATTTAAATTTTTTAGGATTTTTTTTTTAAGATTTATTTATTTATTTATTTTGTTTACAATATTCTGTCTACATGTATGCCTGCAGGCCAGAAGAGGGCACCAGATCTCATTACAGATGGTTGTGAGCCACAATATGGTTGCTGGGAATTGAACTCAGGACCTCTGGAAGAGCAATCAGTGCTCTTAACCTCTGAACCATCTCTCCAGCCCCCATTTTTTTGGATTTTTTACTTTATGTGTATGAGGGCTTTTCTTGCATGTATGTATGTGTGCCACATACATTCAGCATCCTTGGAGGCTGTAACAGAGCACCAGATTCCCAGGAACTGTTATTACAGATAGTTGCGAGATACTGTGTAGGTGACTGGAACCAAACCCAGGCCCTCCACAAGAGCAGCCAGTGTTCTTTGTTCTTGCTCTTAACTG